AACTGACTTCTTAGAAACACCAATTTAATCTTCTGACATCAATCAAGTGGAACTCTTTATCCTAAATTCTCTAATATTCCTAAGGTTATGAAATGTATTAGCAAACATTATGGATCTAGCCTTATTCATTGCTTCTCAAATTTTTCTGGCTCTAACATCAAGGTTAGGAACTTGAGGTTAGGATAGGCAGGAAAATAGGAGACCTGTATCCTGAAGTGATAGTGGAGCAAATAGATTATGTAAAGTTTCATCCTTTGAGCGAGACACAACTCAAAGTGACCTCTCCAAGCAGAATTTCTTTCAAGTCTTATGTATGAACTAAAAATAGGGATATATCAACACACATGGTCTGAGAGAAGATATTTGCAATATAGATATTTGGCAAAAGCCTAGTAGCAGAACATACAATGAATTTCTAAAAATTAGTAAGAAAAAAAACCCAGAAAAACCCAGTAGAAAGGTAGACAAAAAAAAAAAACACTTAATGAAAGAGATTTTAAAGACAGATACTGAAGATTTCATTGTATGAGACTTCATTGCATTTCCTTGTATGTTAATTATACCATGATTTTTTTTAACAAAAAGAAGACAGAAGACAAAAATAAAGAGGAAATGTTTAGTGAAACTTTGAAGGAGGTCATTGTTGGCTCAACAAAGTAGGATTAACAGGCTCCAGAAACACCACAGAGTCTTGTCTTTTTCTTTTTTCTTTTCTTTTAAAGATTTTATTTATTTGACACAGAAAGAAAGAGAGAACACAAGCAGGGGGAACACCAGAGGGAGGGAGAAGCAGGCTCCCTCACTGAGCAGGGAGCCCAGACGTGGGGCTGATCCCCGGACCCTGGGATCATGACCTGAGCCAAGGCAGATGCTTAACCAACTGAGCCACTCAGGTGCCCCTAGTAGTGTCTTTTTCTTTTTCTTTTGTGTAAGGAACAGCAATAGACAACAACAGGTCAAAGGGCATGTATTGTCTTTATCATCTAACATAGTAGCCAGCAGCCAGCTGCCAGCTTGGTTATGATCCAATCCAAATAAGTCAGGAAAAGAACCAACCTGGTTTCATTCTCCCCCAGTTAAGAGTGATTCTGAGAAGCTGTAAGGGATCCGAGGCCAAAGATCTCGGCCCAAATTAAGTCCTTGGGTCTCTCCTCTGTACAAATATGTCTCAAGCAAACAGTTCACAGAGGAAGGCCTTTTGGCCAGATAGGATTTGGGACCCTCTGAGAACTTCCTGGGGTTCTACTTTCCTTGAATTTCTAAGCCTTCACTTGTGAAAGACTATCTCATATTCATGTCTTTTCAAGTGAGCAGACATCCCTAAAATTATTAAATCACCATCATTTTAGATCCATGGACACACAAACAAAATGATGGCATCAGTCTGAAAAGTATACCTCAACAAGATAAAAACATATGTAATGTATTTAAAACATGTATGACAAATGGGATTTCCCCAAGAATATTAGAATTAGGTAGCCAATTTTTATTAATCTGTTCTGATAAAGAAAACAGAGTTATTAGATTCATTTTAAAAAGAAATTCTCAAATGAAAATATTCAAAACCATTAGCCGGAACCATTATCTCCTTAACATTAGTCAACATCATGTTACCTTATGCTGCTAAAAAACCAAATGGAGGGCAGCCCTGGTGGCTCAGTGGTTTAGCACCGCCTTCAGCCCAGGGTGTGATCTTGGAGACCCAGGATTGAGTCCCATGTCAGGCTCCCTTCATGGAGCCTGCTTCTCCCTCCTCTGCCTGTATCTCTGCTTCTCTCTCTTTCTCTCTGTGTGTCTCTCATGAATAAATAAATAGAATATTTCTTAAAATGAAACAAAACAAAACAAAAGCATATGTAAAGCAGTTGACTGGGGGGAGAAGGAGGAAGGGAAACAGTAAAAGCATTCATTTCAAGATTCACAGGTATACTCAGAAGGGTTAAGAGGAGGAAAAGGAAAAAAAAATAGGGACAGATTCTTTACTTTCTGTTATGTCTCAAGCAAATCACTAAAGGGAAAGATGGGGTGCCTGGTTATAGCTTTTCTTTTTGGGAAACTAAGACTTCTAGTTCTTTAAATAATGCTATGGGGGTACACAGCTTCCAAAGCATCTTTTTAGCCTGGTAGATGAGGGATTCTCAGATTTTAGTTTTCATCAACCATTAAAATTTTAAAAACTCAACCCAGAAGTTTGGAGGACCAATAAAAGGCTTCTAATGTTAGATCTCAACAAGAAAAATAATGAAAGAGAGGTAGCATCTTCCAATATCTTCTCATTGCAACCGTTTAGAAATATCATAATTTTAACACCAAATAAAATATGGAAAATACAATCTTAGAATATAAATTGTATAATATACTGCTTTAAAAATACTCATTGCACTGTATTTTTCTCATTCAGTACAGATCAGTGAAATCTATGGGCTAGCACTAGCCAGCAGACACTACCTTCATTCAGCCAAAGCAGCAAACCTGTGAGTGAAGGTCTTTTGGGCCAAACTAGCCCATCCACCAGCCCATCTCACCAACTCAAACCCATTTACCCTCTGGTTAGTCTTTAGTGGATAATGGAGGTCATTTGGCAGAAATTACTCAACTTCTCCCTCCTTTCTGGCCCCCAAGAAAAGATTCATCTTTATCCACATTTGGCTTTAGCTCTTTCTCTCCATTTTCAGTAGAAGAGGTTTCCTCCCACCTGATTCTAGATTCCATAAGCTTCTATCTACTTAGGGATGCCAAGTCCATTATCAACTTCCCTCTCCAGCTCTAGGGGATTAATATTATTTGACATTCCACCCACTGAGAGGTGGAGTTCTATGTACCCTTCCTTCAGATCGGGATAGTTCTGTGACTGCTGTGACCAGTAGAACATGGGAGAAATAGCACTGAGCCAGTTTCTTGTCCCAGGCCTTAAGACAGTGGCGGCTTTCTCTCCCTGTCTCTTGGAACATTCTAGGAATCCTGGGCTACCATGTAAGAAGCCTGACAACCCTGAGACTACCATGCTGAAGAAGCTTCAATTGATAGCCTCAGCTGAGCTTAGACTTCCAGCCATCTCTGCAGAGGCTCCAGACCTAATGTCTTAGACTGTCCTGACTAGACCGTGTACTAGCTGAATACTACCAAGCAACCCCAGCTGATGTCATGTAGGCAAAAGAATTGCCCACTTTTCTGGGTGGCTCAGTGGTTGACCATCTGCCTTCAGCTCAGGGTGTAATCCTGGAGTCCCAGGATCAAGTCCCATAGTGGGTTCCCTGTGGGGAGTCTGCTTCTCTCTCTGCCTGTGTCTCCGCCTCTCTCTCTCTCTCTCATGAATAAAATCTTTAACAACAACAACAAAGAATTGCCCACTTAGCCCTACTCAAATTGCTAATCCATAAAGTCATGTTTTCAAGTGAATAAATTTTTGTTTCATTTTTTATACCATAAATACATCTTTTCCAGCTACTTCTTTTGGAATATAAATAAACCTATTCAAGCCTGGCTCAATCATATCAAAATTTCTCATTTTACTCTATATCTCCTTTTACATAACACACACCCTCATTTTCTCTTTACTTTCATTTGTGCTCCCACCTTTCATTTTCCATCTTTCCACAATGGTGCTTCTTCCCTAACCATGCTAATGAAAATGTTTTTGCCAAGACCAATGATGTTTAGGTTTTGCCTAAGATAAATTGTTATTAGTTCTCCCCTTACTTGCTCTCTGTGTCACGTGATATTCTTGAACAGTCATTCCTTTAGGAAATTCTTCTCTCTGGTCTTCTCAATTCCACTCCCTCTTGGCTTCTGGATCTCTCTTTTCTCCAATTTCTTCTCTGCTGCCTGTACCTTAAATAGGCTTTTCCCAAGGTCCTCCTTTTTCCACTTATCTCTTCTCTACATGCTCTACAAAGTCATCATATCCATCCCTACATCCACTGCTTTAAGTAGATGCTGTATCCTGAAACTCTAAGTCCATATTTGTAGCCTAAATCTTTCTCTAGAACCTAAAGGCCAACTCCTGACTGAGCAGCTCCATGTAAACCTGGAGTGTTCACACCCAACAAATGCAAAAATCACCTCACACTGCCAGACTGCCATTCTACCGGACTTCCCAGTCAGCTGGTAGATGCAACATCTACTTGCAAGTTATACTTGACTCCTCCTGCATCCAAGCTTACACTGAATCTACCCACTTAGTGTATCTGGAATTGGTTTATTCTACCTTTTCCTGTTTCTAAAACCATTATTAAGGATTCATCACTTCTTTTGACAGATTCCACAGGCTTCTGGATTCAATTCACTAATATCCTGCTAGGGTGTTCACTCTAGGTGCAAATCTTATCATTAGCACTCCTTTGCAAAAATCCTTCAGAGCTTCCCCAACAGTTTCAGATTCAAATTCAAATTCCTTAACATGATGTGCAACACCCTTACCTACTACTTCTCGTCTCCTGCCTCTTCCCACTTGTGCCATTATAGCCAAGTACATGGATACACCTTCAGTTTCATAAATTCACTAAACTTTCTTATACTGTCAGCCTCTGTATCTGCCATTCCTGCTACATGAAACATCCTCCCCTGACTTTTAAACCAAATTAATAGTCATTTTTCATTTAAAGCTCAATTTAGCTATCATGTCCTCAACAAAGCCTTCCACCTCCCTCATTCTGTCTTAGGTGACTTTCCCAGTGTGCTTACTATGTGCTCTTCTCTATCATGACATTTATGAAAACATAATTTTCTATGTAATAGCCTACTTAAAAGTCTATTTGAGCACTAGACTAAGGTCTTGAAGGCAAGAATTTTTTAAAATCTTAGTTCTCCAATCATATTTTGGCACATATCAGATACTCACAGCTATTTGCTAAATGAAAAAATGAGTGAATGAATGAGTGGCATGTATTTAGTTGCCAGATTTACCAGTTTCATGGAGACTTTTAACAGTACTACAAAAAATTATGAAATTCATGAAAGTAAAAGGGATAATACTAAAAACAGACTGTATCATAATTCACCTTCTCAGCTTTTCCTTGCTTGAATGAAGAAGAGAAATCTTTTTGCTTTTCTCAGAATCTGGCACTGGAGCCTTTAATTCAAGCCCAATGTCATTTCTTAGAGCTTCAGAGCTAGAAACAAGAGAAAATCATGTCACAGATTTAAGAGGAAAATTGTCAGGCAATATTAAATAATAAGCACCAATATACTAATCAAAGGTACTTCTCAAAGTCCCTTGCTTCATGCAAAGGTGCAGTAAATATCAAAGCACTTCACTACCTTACTTATTTGGTGCAGAATGTTTTATTTCAAAGACTCTAAAGAATTTATTATCAAGATCATCATAAATCCAATGACTAATCAAAATTCTAAAATATACAAAGAGTAACAGATACAAGCAGAATTAAAATATTCTGACCTCACTGATTACGACTACTCCAAATTATACGACTGTATTGAAAGTGTGTTACAAGAAAAAAACACAAAGGATTAAAGGGCCATAGTACACTATTCCAACTTGATCAGCAAAGGTCAGGTTCCCTCCATTTAGATATCTTCTGGTCTACCATTTTTCTAAAGCTTCTCCAAGCATTTTAATGAATGTTTTTTTTTTAATATTTCCCTAAGAAACTTATAACCTAATACATTTTATTCCAAGGTCTACAACTTGATTTGAAAATGTATTTCTATTTGTAGTGGTAGGATTCTGAGGAAAAATAAAGATTCAAGACAAGAAAGGTTCAAAAAGAAGTTGCAAGTAATGTAAGAAAATCACAAAGCCTTCCAAAACCCTTCCCAAACTCATATTTCAGATAAGGTTTAATACAATAAATTTCTTTCAGGTTAAAATGTTAAATAAGATTAAATGACCTATTAATATCTCTGTACTACTTAAGTGAGCACATTTTTGGTTTGACCACACTTATTGGTTGCCAAGTCTTTTCCTTCAAAATAGTATATGGTCACATTTCTACAAATACTTGATGGTCACATTCTACAAATTCCGGAAGTGACTTATTCAAAATTCTCACCATCATCACCAATGTCCTTGGTAGCTACATTCATTCTTTGTAGCCCTATGCTCCATTTAAAATCTCCTTGGAAATCAGCTTACAGTGAACAAAAAATTTTCACAAAAACTGAATTTTTATAAGTAGATAACATCAGCATTAGAAAAGTATGACCCCAGATAACTGCTTATCCAATGGAGGTTTGAATACCAGTTATAATATCTCAGGAAGAGAGAGATGGGGACAAAGAGACCTTTTTTATGGGTTGTTTTCAGTAACTGGGGGGATAGATTTATGAATTCAAAAAAGACGTCAGTGAGAAGCTTACTAGTAGGAAGACAACATCTGGGGCCACTCTTATCTGTTTAAATACTGGGGTTATAAGTAAAATTTTTGTTTGAAGAAGATTCTACTGTTTCCAAAAAGTGTGAATACCATTGCTATTATTAAACTTTGATTAATGATAACCCAGACTCTAATACATCCAGTGTTGGGAACATACTACCTTGCAATTCACTCTGGTCCCTGTGGTCAACTAGGATTGTTATGAAGTATTTCCTTAGATTGAAGTGAATACTTCTGCAAGTATTCACTACCCTCCATCCCAGATCAGGACTGAAACACAGAAAAAGTCACATTCCTCTTTTATAACACAGCCTCTTCTTCCTTTTGCATCACCCCTAGCACTTGAACTAGTGTTCCACAATCAATAAGTTCCTCAGAAATTATATAGTAAAAGTTATTATTATGAAAAAGTAAAAACAAAAACTAACCAAGCAAATAGATCAGTAGAAAAATATCCCAATTGTTCACTGCAGGACTTCAGCAGGGGCAATCCAGGTTCTTCGGGCTTCATAGAATATTCATTCTTAACTGAAAGTTTTAAAGTGGTGACTATTTTAATTCTAAAATCACTGGGGAGGGGGGTTAATGTTAATCATACACACAAGCCCTAATCAAAAAGCAGTTGCCATTTTTTACTCAAAATATTTTACAAAGCAATATTTTTAAAATAGAAAGCAAATTATAGATTTCAGTTTGTAAAACATGAAACCACCCAAATTAGGACACAAAATGAAAATACACATTGTTCACTCCAGGACATCCTCTTTCAACTAGATTCTAAACTTAGTGGCAGGTGTGCTTAAAACACATTCAAATGAGTTTACTTATTAACTTATTTATAGGTAAATGTCAAGGATAGAAAATATGTATGAGTCTGCAGTAAGCAGCTGTATTGTCAAAATATGACATCTGATGTTTTTTTCTCGTTTTTTTTTTTTTTTTTTTTTTTTTTTTTTTGCAGCTGCTTATCCTCAAAGCAAAGATGAAATGACCAGAAGCAGACGTGGTTATGACCAATAGGGAGGGTGTTAAACAGGTGGTGATAAGCAGCTGCTCTATTTCCACCGAGAGCCAAATGAGAGGTTGCAAAGAGGATCTGGGTCACCCGATAGCCATTTCCAGAAAGAACTCTGAAGCTGTAGTGGTTGAGAGTAATTGGAATGTTACAGAACAGACTCACTAATCTTCCCTGAATGTTAAAAACACACAAATACACACACACACACACACGAAAGAAGGAGGGTTGTCCTATATCATCTGGAGTGTGAGTTTATAGAAGATAATCCTTAAAGTGTTTTTTCAGGCCTCTTTTAAGAAAAACATCATCTTAATTTTAAAAAGATACTTTATCAGTATCTCAGGCCTAGAAAAACCATAAATACTCATTGACCAACAATGACTACAGTAGAATTTAATTTCAGAAATTGGAGTCTGAAAAATTTAATAAAAGAAAAAAGAAAGAAGAAGGGTTGTCCTATATCATCTGGAGTGTGAGTTTATAGAAGATAATCCTTAAAGTGTTTTTTCAGGCCTCTTTTAAGAAAAACATCATCTTAATTTTAAAAAGATACTTTATCAGTATCTCAGGCCTAGAAAAACCATAAATACTCATTGACCAACAATGACTACAGTAGAATTTAATTTCAGAAATTGGAGTCTGAAAAATTTAATAAAAGAAAAAAGAAAAAAGAAATTAAAAAAGAAAAAAGAAAAAAAAGAAATTGGAGTCTGTCCTTTTATAAGTCAAATTAAAGTTAATTTAATTAGCTTAAGTGTTTAGATGCTGGTGATACACATAATACAATGTAGGTGAAGAGTTTAGAAATGTGAAATCTAATGGAAGCATTGACACTAATTATCTGTGTCTAAAAATCTAAAAGAGAGGGACAACCATCCTATTAACTTAAGTAAACTAAGTTATGAGCAAATGTTTTGCAAAGCAGAAAGTATAAAATAATTCAAAATTAGTGGCCCTGCCTTTTAGACACTCATACAATGACATGGCATGGTTAATTCCATTTTTAAAAAATTTATTCATGATAGACACAGAGAGAGAGAGAGGCAGAGACACAGGCAGAGGGAGAAGCAGGCTCAATGCTGGGAGCCCGATGCAAGACTCGATCCCGGGACTCCAGGATCACGCCCTGGGCCAAAGGCAGGCGCCAACCACTGAGTCACCCAGGAATCCCGATTAATTCCATTTTGAAGAATAAGAAATGATGGCAGCACCTGGGGCACTAAAAAGAAACACCCTGTGCCTGCCACAACACTGCATTTGTCCTTGGGCAACACATTTTAAATTTTGGAAGTTGTAAATTTTTTTGTTACAGGTAGAGAACATGTTTATTTTCATTTTTTTCCCCTTTACACTATAATTAATAGGAATTACATGTTCTTTACAGTACACAGCATACAGTTAATCCTTAGCAAATAAAAGGCATCAATGGAAAACCAACTTAAAAATGTATAAATATAGTTTTTGTAGAATTTAATTAGAACTTTTCAAACCTTTGGAAATCTTGTTTTCACTCACCGGTATTTGAGAAATAGGTTTTCCAGTATTTTACCACAATACTCATTTTCTCGATTGTCAGTGGTTCACTTAAAGTAATGTCAGCTCCATGCCCTGAAACACAACCTAAGAATTTTTGTTTTAAATATTGACCTTATGATTTCTATTTGGAGAAAAAACAATATGTCCAGCAGGCACATACCTCTAAAATTTTCAGGGGTTATAAAAACAAACAGCAAATGTGTATTTTTCTTCTTGCCAAATCTGAGAGGAAAAAAGTGTTAAAATGAAGCAAAATCATTTAAAAAATTGAGATTCGATATTTTACCTTACTAAGAATTAACTAGAGTGGTTTTCTTTATTTCTTTAGAAATTGGGGATCCCTTTTTACTTTTTATTTATTTTTTAAAGTTTTTATTTCTTTAAGTAAGCTCTACACCCAATATGGGGTTTGTTTTTTTTGTTGTTTCTTTTTTTGTTTTTTTTTTTTCCAACATGGGGTTTGAACTCACAACCCCAAGATTAAGAGTTGCATGTTCCTCTCAGCCAGCCAGCTGCCTCATCTTATGATTTTTTTAAACTGTTAGTTTATACAAATCAAGATTCAATTTTCCCTTTCCTCTGTTTTTATTTCTTTTTATCTTACTCTTTATTTATATATATATTTAAAAGGGGTCATTTATCTTACAGAATTTTTCACATTCTGCATTTTAATGATTTCATCCCCACAGCATTCTTTAAATATTTCTTTTTTTCTTATATTTCTTGTAAACTAGTGCTTAGGTCTGGAATCTGGATAAGATTTAGGCTCTTTTTTAAGCAAGAATAAAAGTGGTCTTTTTAAACATAGCTAATCTGAGATGCTACTTTTACTAAACTTCCGTATTAATGCCACCATTTTAATTTCTAAAGAAAAGTTATACATGGATGAGAACTACATTTGAATTGAGATATACTGAGTAAAATAGATTGCCATTCCTAAAGTGGGTGGGTTCCATCTAATTAATTGAAGACGTAAATAGACCAAAAAGTCTGAGTAAGAAGGAACTCCTCCAGCCTGACCTACTTAGCTAGGACCTTGGCCTTTTCCAGCCTTCAGACTCAGACGGAAATATGGGCTCTTCTTGGGTCTTGGGACTGCCAGCTTTTCAAATGAAATTTATACCATCAGTTTTCCTGGTTCTCAGACCTTCAGATTCGACTGACTACACATTGCCTCTCCTGGGTCTCTGGCTCGCCAACTACAGATCTTGGGACTTCTTGGCTTCCATAGTGCATGAGGCACTTCCTTAAAATAAATCAACTTCTTTCCTTCTCTACCTCTAGGTAGATGGACAAATAGATGATAGATAGATAGATGATAGATAGATAGATAGATAGATAGATAGATAGATAGCCATCCTATTGGTTCTGTTTCTTGAGAATCCAGAATAATATAGCCACACTTTGTTATCCATTCATCTCTCTATGGACATTTGGGTTGCTTTTACCTCTCAGCTATTGTGAATAGTGCTGCTATGAACATGATGTGAAAGTATTTCAGACACGTCTTTACAGAGGAATGTTTGGCCAAATGTCTGAGCACCCATGGCCCAATTAAGCTGACACATAAAAATTAACCATTACAGTATTATATGCATACATGGAATATATTATTCAGCCTTAAAAAAGGAAAATATGTTAAATACTCCAATACGGATGAACCTTTAAGACATTATGTTAAGTGAAATAAGCCAGTTATAAAAAAAGTAAATACTATATGATTCCACTTACATGAGGTGTTTAAAGTAGTCAAATTCATAGAAACTGAAAGTAAAATGGTAGTTATCAGGGGATACAGGGAGGGACCAAAAAAAAGGGGTTGTTTAAAAGGAACAGAATTTCTGATTTGCAAGATGAAAAAGTTCTGGAGATATATGACAACATATATCAGCAACAATGTAAATACACCTAACATTACTGAACTGAACACTAAAAAATGGACAAGATGGTAAAAATTTGTGTTATGTGATTTTATCACAATAAAAAATATCCCCTGCAAAAAAGGTATACATGGACTTTCGACTGTGCAGGGAATTGGTGCCAATATCCCTCACATTGTTCAAGGGTCAACTGTATACGTAATTTATATACCTGAGACACATATATTGAGAACCACTGTGTGCCAGACTCTGTGCTAGGCTCTAGGGGATATCATGGACAGGTCTCTGCTCTCGCGGAGTTAATAGTTTCTTGAGGGGATCAGACATTGAACAAATCACTGTAGATAATTAAGTAGCCAAATATGTGCCTAGTGTTGTGAAGGAAAGCCACAGGGGCCAGGAAAGTCTATACCTGTGGAACGACCTTACTCTGCAGCCTCGGGCTTCTAGGCAGAAATGCCTCTGTGGCTGACTAGGGGTTAATCATACAAAAGGTAGAATTGGGGGGGTGGGAGGGCAGAAACAGATAAGAAGTAAAGTTCATTCTGGACAAACAGAACTGGCTGCGGGAAAAGGTCCTAGAATAGAAAGAACAGGTAAGTCTGAGAAAGTCAAAGAAGTCCAAAGTGGTACAGAGCATCTGAGGAAGAGACACATAAGACCAGAGAAGGTATAGAGGCCTTTAGGCCAAATTAAAGATTTGGTATTTTATTAAAATGGACAATGGGAAGCTATTAAGCTATTAACAGGACTGTATTTGCATCTTAGAAAGACCACTCTATGATGGGATGGACAGGGGGTGATGTCAAAGGGTGGATTTGGGAGACCGTATTGCAGTTAGGCCAACAAGAACTGATGGTAGAGAAAAGTAGCCATGATGAAGAATTTTCTTTAAAGAAATAAATAACTCGGAATATTTACTAATTACTTCAAACAAGCAGAATATTGCTAACATGTGACATGCATACAACTGAGGTTTCTTCAGGCTTGATTCTGCTCTATGAATTCTGAGGAGTTTAGGCTAACAGAAAAAAAAGAAGAGAATGAGGAAATGAGAAGCTTGGGCAGAAATACTACCAACAAAACAGGCATACATGGATTGATAAGGATTAACTGGCAGACTGGACATGAGGTAAGAAAGGCACATGAGCATATTGGTGTAGGAGGTTTTGGTGGCATAGTGGGTGACAAGAACGTCCCCTGCCACAGTGCAAGTATTTCATGTATGCTTTTAAGTGAGGTATAATGGAGGTATAACAATTGGATGAGGAAACAGAAGTGGAAGGGAAAAATGGACTGAACAAATAGGACCACAGAAAGAAACGTACAAGATGGTTTAGCCAAACTGTTGGAATAAAAAATATTTTGCTGACTCACAAAGAATAAATTATAACTCATGCTTAAATACTCTAGCATTAGAGAATTTTAAATCAGTCTTTGCTTTTAAAAATATTCTATTTTTTTATTTTACAAACTGATGTTATTGGCACAAAAATAGGTTAGATTTGGATATGTGTATTCACATGCCTCATGATGACATTTAAATTTCAAGTTTTATATCAGAGTTGGAATTGCTGGATTTTTGTCATTTGTACAGAATCAATTACCCACCCAAACACTTCCCCTGCCAGTAAAACCCTAATTGTGATGCTGTACAGGAGCTCCACTAATCAATAGAATTCCCAGAATCCAACACACCAGTCTGGAGCTCAGCTGTTCATTCACATTCTGTACAGATCAACAAGCTAAGAGTTTCTAGTTTCCAGGATCACCAAAAAAAGTTCTCTTCCTAATGAATGAATGTCCCTTAAAACTAAGCAACACTAAAATAAAGCAAAAATCTTTCATCCACTCCAATTAATAGCACTTCTTCCATATACCAAAGTCAAATTGCAGGTTCTGAGACCTTATGAGTACCTTCTCAGTTGAAATCTCTTGGGTTTTAAAAATTTGCAATTCTTTGGGGGGAGGCATTCATTTCTCCTTATGTTTCATACAACACACTATTTAAATGTCATGACGGTTCTTAAGACCATACTCTACATATAAGCCTGGATGTTGATATTCTAGTGTCCCTTTTTCTATGCCTGTCTCTAGTATTCTCTGGAACTGGAAGCAGTAATAAATAAGCTCAAGGTGCAGCAGTACAGATGCCCAATCTAGCCCCTATCCCCAAGTCTGGTCCCTGGTAGCTGAAAAAAGTTAAAAAGATTATATAAAGTACTTGAGCTGAGTTGTATACTCGGCTGACTAAAGAACCTCGAGAAAGCCATGGCCTCTGAAATCTATCATCTAATAAGAGGACCAGTGGTGTCTTATAAGTCTCTATGAAGCCAGGGGAAATTCCTAAAATAATTTCCTTTAGAGTCACAGGACTTAAAGGGACAAAAGCCAGTGTCCCTTTTGGGTGGTAGCCTTCTTGAGTACAGCTATCCTTTACGCCATCTGTGAGGCAAATGCAGCCAAACTAACCTGGCTGGTCTATCTGGGACTTGTAACAAATAATGGTCTTTGCTAATAACTTAATTAAAACAACCATTTTCAATGAGAAAATTGAGAGCTTTACTATATATGTGAAAACACTAAGTTCACTTGCTCCTAATAGGGCACCTGTGATGAAATATAGTTGAGTTCTGAGAGTTTATTCTGGTTAATAGTGAAGGTTGGTGTGCTCTGTTTCCCTGCTATTCTTCAGAAGAGTTCCTGCTATGAACCTTATAAGTCAGGGTCACCACATTTAGAGTCAACCATCAATTTATAGAATAATGTTTTTAGTATAACTACTTAAATATTTTGTTGTTATTTTGTTTATCATCAAGCATTCAGGAAGCTAGGTCATGCCAATTGGGTAATAAAATTTACTGAGCTGCATGGTCAAGACAAAGATGTTTTAGAATTGGGGATACAAAAAGACAGCTTGTTACATGGATCCCTGTAGCTCACAAGATTAGGTTTTCTTAGTGAATTAATAAGTTAACGATCAGACAATTGAAACTACATGAGAAAAACAAAATCAGATCCAAACTTGATTTATAGCCAGGGCAGATGGAACCACATTCTGCATTCCTTTGCTACTGCTGAACTGCTTGGAGCTCACAAGGATCACAGAATTCTAAGAACTGTAGAGACACTTCATGGAATGGAAAAAAAAATTACAATTTTAGACAGGATCCATACATTATTGATGATTTTAAAACATATTTTAATTTTCCATACCTGCCTCTGGGAGATAAAGTATTAGGATGTGTCTGAATTATCAAGTATCTGCTTTTTTTTAAAGATTTTATTTAAAAAAAAACAAAAAAATAAAGATTTTATTTATTTATTCATGAGAGACACACACACACAGAGCAGCACAGACACAGGCAGAGAGAGGAGCAGGCTCCATGCTGGGAACCTGACGTGGGACTCGATCCCAAGTCTCCAGGATCATACCCTGGGCTGAAGGAGGCGCTAAACCGCCAAGCCACCTGGGCTGCCCAAGTATCTGCTCTTTGAGCGTGGTTCAAATTTGGAATTCTGAAGCCAAGCATATGAACCCTTCAACTACCTTACAATATTTTATCAATGGGTAGGATTTGAGTTCATCTGGCTCAATAAAAATGTATTCTTAATATGAAATCAAATGGGGGAGTACTATTAAGAATGTTAACCTATAATTGAGATGTGCCATAATTCTTTTTTAAGATGTTACTTATTTGAGAGAGAGCACAAGCAGGAGGAGGAGCAGAGGGAAAGGGAGAAGCAGACTCCCTGCTGAGTAGGGAGCCCAACACGGGGTTGCATCCCAAGACCTCAGGATCATGACTTGAAACAAAGGCAAATGCTCAACCAACTGAGCGACCCAGGTGCCCCTAAGATGTGCCATAATCCTCAAGAATGCCAGTCTTTTTAAATAGGTTGTTTACATTTTATTCTAAAATAAGTCTAACATTATAGCTAGCAGGCTATATACTTCATTCTTCAATAGAAATCCATATCTTATATAGATTTGTAATTATGGTCTCTAATATTACAAATAAGTGTGGACATTTCTACTCTATATTAAGCTCCCCATTAACTGATGAAACATATAAAGTACCCAGAGAGAGAAATGAAAGATAAATAATTGCATATTTTGCAAAGCTCATCCAGATTTTGAGATATTACAAAGCAACAAGGATCTGAAAGGGAAAAATCTAAAATACAGCAAAAGAAAAGCTAAACAAGACATTTCATTTGGTTTAGACATTAAACGTCAGCTCAAACTCAAAAGATACAGTGCTTTAAGAATGATAAAGGTTTAAATGCCTTACAAATGGGGCAGTAAGTTCACAAGACTCATTGCTCTAAGAAAAAAAACCAGTTTCAAAAATATAAACATGCTCCACAAGAGTTTAAATAATTCATGTCATAAACTCATAACAGTTCTGAGGGCAAGAAAGGGAATTCCAGAGATATACTAAGCCTCTGAGGCCAGTATCATGAAAGGCAAAGACTCTCCAAAGAAACTATCCCCTTTTTAGGGAGGAAGACAAAAGCTGTGCAAAGAATGCACTGTCTGCCCCGGATGGCATTTCTCCCACATATCCACACAGGTATTCACTCATACCCACAGCAAGACACTGAGTACTTTACTAGTCAAGACCTGTCCTAGATATTGGGCATAAACAGAACAAGAGACAAGAAAAACACATCCAGGTGTTTTCAAATGATCCTCCTTTTCTTTTCAAATAAATGTTTTTATAGCAAAATATTAGAACTACCATGTGCATTTCTGTATATTTAGTAACTTCATCTACCTTCTTTTCTTTGCTGAGAAGTCTTTAGCTGTGTTATTCTGAGCAAAGAAACCACCAGTGAGGAGAACTCACACAGGTGAGCATCAGGGAGGAAGTTCTCTCCAACCTAGCCTTTAATAATTGCAACAAGACATAAAACTTGTTCTTAAATAGAACTTTAATCTTATCCTGTTCAACATGTAGCTTCAATGCTGAGAAAATACAAAGCCTTTACTACTTTCAGAGGGACCTGGCTAGGCTCCTATTCTTGGAATGAAGAGAGAGATCAGCCACACTAATTTGTCCTTTGCTCTTCCAAAATGATATTAGTTTATAGGAAGTTTGGCATACACTGAATGCATACGAAGAACCTGAAGAGAAAAAAGAGTTCAAGTCTGAGTTTTGTAAAAATAAGTCATATGGCGCTTAGGCAAATCACTTCACCCTTCATTGTCATGTGGGGATGACAAAACCCTGCTCTACCACCTTCATAACACTGTTGTAAACATGTTGGAATACTATAATAAATGCAATTATTATGATGAGGTCCCAGCCAGGGGAACTCTGTATAGGAGTTGTTTTTAAAAGATATGTTAATAAAATAGGCAGATCTTCAGAAGGAGGACAGTTCACAACATAACTTGGAAGTGAAATCCACTTTGAGGTAGTTTGCCTGGTTTGACTAAGGTTAACATTCTCAGTGGAAAGCCAAAAGAAATGCAGATGTTCACCCGTTCTAAGAAACCCCAGGAGCTGCATCCATCTACTCGTCTCTCTTTTTAAAGAAACTCATCACTTTGGCCTTTTCCCATTCCAACTTTTCTTTTCCCGTGATGTAATATGTTTGCTCCTTTTCATTCAGGGATAATAATATTGTCTCTGAACATTCTCCTTTAGTCTTGAAAGTCCTGTCTTGTAATTATTATAAGTCTTTATATATTTCAATATTATCTGCACTTACGCTTTCTCTATCAAATTTTCTTGTAGAAGGGGAACACATTTGTTTTGACCTAACTTTGTTTAAAAACATCCAGAATGGGAGGCACTGGCATGGCTCAGTTACTTGAGCATCCAACTCTTGATTTCAGCTCAGGTCGTACAGCCACGCCAAGAAAGCACCTAACTCTCCCACCACCAGACACTCCAGATCTCTAGCATGGAGTGGATCAAATAGAAACAGAATGTCTATGGAGCTACAAGATGAAACAAAAATATAGGAGGTGCTATTGATCAGGACTCAACAGATCCAGAGAGCCTCAGGGCTCTTTCACATTAGGACATCTTTGAAAGAGACAATTTTAGTCCATTGCTAACATGACATAGAACTAAGAGTGCTCACTTGCTTTAGTATCTGCCATCACAATTAATGAACTCTGAAAAGATGTGCCATTTTAAATGACATAGTTATTAAAAAGGAGTACCTATGAGAATAAGGTAAGTACTATATACTAAATAAATTTCTACAACCAATTAATTCTCATTCTCAGCCACATCAATTACTTTTTAATTAAAATAATTCCTATAATAGTATGTCAAACTGGCAATAAAAACAATGTGTATACCTATTCTGCCCATGAAAACATCTCTCATCTTAAAAATTAAAGCATAAATAGTACCTTCTTTTAAGGTTTTTTAAAAAATAGAAATGGGTTTCAATAAAAACTATTATAAAGATAACAGAGTCAAGGTTTTTGAAGTTCACCTAATTAATTCAACTGCTTCCAGCTCTTCGGCAGTTGGTAAAGAAGTCATCTTCAGGAAAACCACATCAAATGGGCAGTTCTCCAGAAGTACTGCTGCCTGTTCCACATCCCTCATGGTAATGGTGACTTTTGCAATATTTGAAAAGGATTTCTGAGCAATATCTGCCAGGTACTGAACAGTGACATCTCCAACTAATAAGAGGTCTATTTTTGCCTGAAAGAGAAGAAAAAAGCAGAAGTACCACATAATTAATATCTGATCATCGAGGAGATGTCATGTACCAGAGGATACAATAAATAAAGGTGACAAATAACACAATGACTAACTGTGCAAGTAGACTGGTCAACTCTAAGGAGCTCACAGACAGGAACTATTAATTTCTTGTCTTCAGTACCTAGGGTGGTGAACAGATCTGAAGGTCATGCTATTTTTAAAAATTTTGCCTACAAATGCTATTCTGCTGTGGCTTTCCCACCAGTTTCTTTCTCATCCGAGGAACAACAGATAGAATTTGTAAGGCCCGTTTCCCAGTCACTCACCCTGCTGAAAAATCCACCTACTAGTGAGAAAAACAAACTGGTGACTCTCCCAAATCATTTATTTTGATGAATGCACATTCCAGAGAACAGAGTAAGATCTAAATTCCTAAATTCCAAGAGACACTCATAGTCTTTTCTTTAGATGGAAAAACATGCTATTCAAACCCCAATATTTTAGAGCCCAAAAAAGCATCTTTCTTTCCTTTTGGGGTTATTTTCAAGGACATTTCAAGTAAGAAAAATATAATTTCCATCTTCACCTTCTATTTTCCTATGTTTTATTCTCTACAGTTATTGAACACAATCCACCAAAACTGTCAAAGGGGCATGCTTGAATTCATGCAAAGAGTGGACAGTTGGAAGTGGCAGGCCACAGAGGGTCCTTGCAAGAAAACAGATTTGGTTGCTGACCAGAGCTGAAGCCAAAGAAGTGGGTGAAAGAGTTGGAAATGCCAAGAAAGGAAGCTTGCCAAAGACACAACTCCGCAGGGCATGCTGGTTAAGGTGGTCCACCATGGGGTTTTCTCTCCCCTTCAGCCTGCTTTCCCAGGGGTTGCTGGAAGGAACATTTAAGGTACAAGAAATTGGTCAAGTTCGAAATAAGCAAAACTTTGGCACTTCTCATTTCTATCTGCCTTTTAATTTCCTTCCTTCTTTTGTTTAGAAAAAAGAGATGAGTCTTTATTTAACCATTTAATCCCCTCCTCAGAGGCAACCACTGTCTATAGTTTGGTCTACACACTTCCACATGATTTCTATGTCAGTCGTGTGTGTGTGTGTGTGTGTGTGTGTGTATACTCCTCAGAAATGCCAGTTGACTGGGAACATTCTCACTTTCCAGGCTGTTATAGATTTATTCTCTTCAATATATGTTTTCTATCATTTGGTGGGATATGGAGTGGAAAGAGAACATGTGCCCATCTGTCATCTTGATCCAATGTTCCTCATTTATGATGATAATTTATTAAACCATTGTTCTTACAATGCTATAATGAACACCTTTGTAAATATATCTTTGTACATACGTATCTTTAGTCTCATTAAATTGAAGATAACTGTGGATGATTTATGAAGGATCTAATTATGAAAAAACAGACAGGATTGAATCAAAGAAATAAATGAGATTAATGTTTAAAAAAAAGAGAAAAATGTGGAATGTACACAGAATGGAATACTATTCAGCCTTAAAAAGTTAGGGAATTCTGATATATGCTACAACATGGGTGAACCTTGAAAACATGCTGAGATAAGACAGACAAAAAAGAAGAAATATTGAATTATTTCATTAATATTTTATGTCCTTAGAGTAGGTAAAGTCAAAGGGACAGAAGTAGAATAGTGGTTACTATGGGCTGGTGGAGACAAAAAATGAAGTTAGTGTTAAATGGGACAGAGTTGCTTTTTGGAATGATTTTTCAGAAGTTCTGAAAATGGATAGTGGTGAAGGTTGCATAGCATCATAAATATAATTAATAACACTGAACTGCACACTGAGAAATAGCAAAAGTGGTAAATAGTATGTATATATTACCACAATTTTAAAAAGGGAATGAGGTGGTGATACATTTCTCAACAAGGTTGAAGCCTGAAAACCTTATACTCAGTAAAAGGAGCCTGTCTCAAAGACCACATAGTGCATGACTCCATTTATATGAAATGTCCAGAGTAGACAAACTCGTAGGGACAACAGGTACTTAGTGCTTACCAGGGGATACTGAGGTTGAAGTGACCCCTAAGAATTTCTTTTTGGGATGAGGAAGATGTTCCAAAATTTACCTTGATGATGCTAGGACAATTCTGTGAATATAACAGCAACCATGGAATCGTACACTCTTTTTTTATAAATTTATTTTTTATTGGTGTTCAATTTGCCAACATATAGAATAACACCCAGTGCTCATCCCATCAAGCGCCCCCCCCCGCCCACCTCCCCTTCCACCACCCCTAGTTCGTTTCCCAGAGATAGGAGTCTCTCATGTTCTGTCTTCGTTTCTGATATTTCCCACTCATTTTTTCTCCTTTCCCCTTTGGAATCGTACACTTTAAATGGGTAGAATTTCATGGTATGTGAATTGTGCCTCGATAAAGCTGTTTATTTTTAAAAGAAAAGTAAATAATCTTTCTACAAATAGGCATTAGTCCTAGAGGCAAAACTATAAGATTAGAAGATAAGCTTTTGTTTCTCAACTTAGATACTGCCAAATTATTTTCTCCAAAAGCTAGAAAAATTTATTTCCCTGCCAACAATGTTTAGGAATACCATTTCCCCAAATCCTCAATAAAACTGACTAGTCTTAATTTTTCATTTTTGCCAATATTGTGAGCAAAAAAAGACCCCTCAATTTTCCTTTTCATTTTCCTTTTTCTAATTGTGAGGTTAAGTATCTTTTCATTGTAGTGGCAATTTCCATTCCTGTTTATTGCATATTCTATTTACTATTCTTGTCTACTTATTACCTTTTCCATCTTCCTATCTGCTGTTTATCTTTTTCTTATTGCTCTGTAGTTTATATATCCTGGATATGTCAGCTACTTTTTTTCTACTTTGTCATGGCTTTTAACTTTGATTATAAGGTCTCTTGTCACAAATAAATGTTTAATATTTAGTAACATTCACCTACTGTTTCCTTTATGGATTTGATGAATTTTGTCTTGCTTTCAAAGCCTTTTCTATATTATTAAAACATGATTTCATAGTGTGTTCTAATACTTTCACAGTATTATTTTTGGCATTTTACTTTTTATCCCATCTGGAATTTACTTGGTGATTAATACGAGGTAGGTATCTAATTTCATCTTTTTCAAATGCAGGGCTCATTACCCAAGTAGCATTAGTGAATAGCTAAACTTCTCTCAGTATTTTCAAGTGCCACGTATGTATGTATGTATGATTTTCTGGGCTTCATTCTGACCCATTGGTCTGTCTGCCTACTCCTAATTAGTGCAACCTTAATCTTTTTACGTCTTTTATATTTGATTGAATTCCCTCCTTGCAATTTTTCAATTTAGATCTTAGATATTTTCCCACAATTTCTCTTCCAATAGAATTTTAGCAACAGCTTGTCAAGCTCCATAAAGGAAGCCTGTTAAAATTTTGATTATGGTTACAGTATTTTACAAAATAATTAGGGAATATCATTATAGTATTAAATCTCCCTATTTGGGAAGAATGATTTAGAGAATTCAGGTCTTTTTAAATGTTACCTTCATATGGACTCTGCGCATGTCTCCATGTTTATTCCTAGATATTTTCAAGTTTTGGAGCCATTATATAGGGGGTAGCTCTTCTCACTATAGATTTGATTATAATTAACACAGAGAGTGGCTACTAATTTTTATTTTATTTATTTATTTGGCTACTAACTTCTGATGAGGAATTTGCTTCAAGAACTTTAGAGTCCTCTTTCTTTAGTTTTAATATATTTTAGGTGATTCTTCTGAATTTTCTAGGTATATAATCATTCAGTCTTCAAAAATGACATTTTTGGGGACGCCTGGATGGCTCAGTGACTTAAGTATTGGACTTTTGATTTCGGCTCAGGTCATGATCTCAGGGTTGAGAGATCCAGCCTCATAACAGGCTCTGAGTTGGGCATGGAGCCTGCTTGAGAGCCTTTCCTCCTTCTGCCCCTCCCCCACCTCAAGCACGACATTTTTATCCCTATATCCATAACATATACTTTTTATTTATTAATCTTAAAGCACTGGCTAGAACATTCAAAACAATGGCAAATAGCAGGAGTAACATTGGGCATGCTTGTCTTGTTCCTGAGTTTAGTGGGAATAATTCAAATGTTTTTGCCACTGAATATAATACAGAAGGTTTCTGGTCCATACCCTCTACCCAAGTTAAAGAATTTTAAATCAGAAATGGGTGCTGAAATTTACCAAATGTTTTAGTATCAACATGATATTTTTTTCTCCTTTATACTATGTTCTATTAGGTAGCAAATTCCATTAATAGATTTTCTAATGTCAAGCCATAATTGTCCTGCTGGGATAGGCCTATAATATATGGACTAAATTCATTGATATCATTTTAGATTTTTCCATCTATGTTCCTAAGTGAAACTGGATACATTTTTTGTTTTATCATATTGCCTTATCTGGTTTGGGTATCATCAGGGTTATGCCAGCTTTGGAGAATGAAGCAGAAAGTTTCAATATTATTCTATGGTCTTGAATATTTTATACAACAGAATTATCTGCTTCTTGAAATTTAGATAAACATGTCTGCGGAATCTGGGCCTGAAGCCTTTTAGAGAAGATAGATTTTAGAGTACATTTTATAGTTCCTTATTGATTATCAAGAAATGTAGATTTTCTACCTTAAGTTAATTTTGTTCATATATATTTTTTATTTTTTAAATATAATTTTTATATTTTTTAAATATAATTTTATATTTATTTATATTTTTAAATATAATTTCTAATCCATTTTATCTCTTCAAATGGATATGTTTTTAAATGTATATAATGTTATTACTTGCATTGTTATTCTTGCTTTCTAACTGAAGATTAATATATAATTAAATTTTCTTATCTTCTTTTTCTTGGTGATGCTTTATTAGAGACTATAGAACTGTGTGGTCCAACATGATAGCCGCATGTGGCTATCTAAATTTATGTTAACCAAAAATAAAGCTTGAAATTCACCTCAGTTGCACTAGCCTC